AATTGGTTCCCACTATTGGTTCCTCGGTGGAGCTAGGAATTGCATCTCAGGTATTACTAATTGCTTTCACACTTGGACATTATTGTATTAAAAGTAGTTATGCTCTCCTTTTCATTTATCAAATCCTTTTTATAGAGTAGATTATTCCATGTGTATGTGTTCATTCATTGCTTCCATCAAAGGTAGTTAAGTACTTCACAGATCCAAATGCCATTGAACCACCAGATATGCAGATTTTATTCCCATTTGTGGAGTCTGCTCTGCCCCTGGTATGATCTCCCCCCATTTTTATCATTTCTGATAAACAAAAGACAAAAAATGAAATTGGGTTGAGCTCCTCATTTTACCATCCAGATTGAATGATACAAATATTTTATTCTGTAAAATCTACTGAAAAGAGTATCCAATGAAATAGTTTATTAAGTTTATTGAACAATGAAATTCATATAATTGGATTACATTTATCTTATAAAATAAATAAATAAATTACCTATATTAAAAATTATATTATCCGTTCAATTTTCTTTGATCAAATTAATCAAAAATTTTATACGAACTATTTTGTGGATAAACCCTACAAATGAATGGTTGTTTCAAGCACTAGGTGAGCCTCATAGTGGGCATGTTAATTAAATAAACCAACCTCCTGCCCATGTTTGGAAAAATTGTGATTTAAATTTTTTTTTTTTTAAAGGTATTGTTTGAGTAGTATAAAATGTGATTGTTATAATAGGGACCAAATTATCTTCGATTATTGTGATTGTTATAAAATGTGATTGTTTGAGTAGTATAAAATGTGATTGTTATAATAGGGACCAAATTATCGTGCAAACATCAGAGACTATTTATATAATTTATCTTCAATTATTTTTTATTTTTTATTTGGACCGGAAACTGATAGTTTTTTATTTTTTATAAATAACTGTTGGAGTCAATTTATATGGTGAAGTTAACTACTAGGCAAATCATAATGAGTCTTCAAAGAGTAAGATAAATAAATCTGTTTAATAATTCTTTGGCTATTTAATTCTGTAATTTTGAGTTTTCTTTATGTACATCAAATCTATTTCAATGTTACTATTTATTTTTCATTATGAGTATTCTAAGTCTCTTAGGTTTCTACTTTTCTATTTTGTGTGCTTCTGTATATACTTACTACGTACTAAATAATAATAGAGTTTGCCATGTTTGGTATGTTTCATTTTGCTATTTTTTCACTTACTTTTTATTTTATTTTTGTTTCTCCTATTCAATTTTTTGGTTTGGCACAGGTGTGGAGATCTGTCACAATCCAAGAGGATATGTTAATTAAGTAAACCAACTTCCCTACCCATGTTTTTTTTTTTTTTTTAAGGTATTATTTGAGTAGTGAAAATTGCAATTGTTAATTGACATATGGTGGGTAGGCTTACCAACCATAAAACCCATAATTCAGTTTTAAAAAACTTTTGGGCTTTTTGGGGCTTTTTCCCATAATTCAGGGTCATGAAGATATGTATTTTTGTATTTTTTATTTTTTGTAATACTGTTAATTATACTTTTGATAATACTAAATATTCCAACTAAATCAAACATTATTTGCGTTGTATTTTTTGGTGTAATAATGTAAATTTTTGTGCACGTTGCTTTATGACTTTGTGTTGTTCAAAATAAACTTCTCGGGTGATTCTTTATCTACACTTATCAACTTTGACTGTAAGTATTATAGACTTATTGATGGATTATTGTAGAGTTTTCCCCCCCCCCCAATTTAGAGTTGAGTATGCTTTGTTTGAGATAATGCAGAAATATATGAGAATCTATATAATATGGAAGAAAAGCTTTTGAAAATGTCTCAAATGTATCAGAGATACATTTGGTTTTAACGGCCAAGATGAATCCTAAGTTCATATACATTTAGATCGATGGTCTATATACATTTAGTTCCCACCCGTTTCCCTAGCTCCCTCTCTCTCACGTTCTCTGTCACATTGTCTCTCATCACCACAGCCATTGAAGACCCTTCGAACCCTTCGATACCCACCCTCCCTCTTCGCTACGCTACTCCTCCTTCCCTTACAACCCTTCGAACTCGGCTCCCTTCGCTGTCCACGCTACCAACGCTGCTCTCGCAAGGTAAGATTGAGCCTTTTCACTCGATTTTTGCCTCTTCCCTTCTCTCTCTGTTTTTCCCTTACTGCCATTTGGCTTGCTGCAGTTCCAACCCCACTCTCTGTTCTTTGGGTTTGATTGGTGTGATTTATTTTTTACCCTTTTCTCTCTATTCTTTTCCTTCTTTTCCTTCATTTGATTGGTGTGATTTAAAGTTTTGTTTATTAATTACATGTTTTGTATTGAATTTTACAGATTAATTTACGGTTTCCTGGTTATGTTTTGCCAAAATTGTTTTTGTGTTTGTTTTTAAGTACCATGTTTTCATGAATTAGTCAATACATGGATTTCAGATTTGGGGTTATTTATAGATGTTATAAATATGGTTGGTTGGTGAGAATTTCTGTTTTGTTTAATTTCATATTTTCAGATTGGCTCTGTTTTGTTTAATTTCTGTTTGGTTGGCGAGAATTTCTGTTTAATTTCTGTTTGGTTGGCAAAGAAAGGCTTTGTATTCACACTTTTCTTAACCTAAGGATGGTTTGAATCAGTAAAAATTGTGGATGTTGAATAAAAGTTGCATTCATCTTTGTTGGAATTCGGTTTTTAAATTCTAAAAAATCTAATATGTGTTTTCAAGACACACTTTTGAGCTGTCATTTGTCATATTTATTAGGGAATTCATGGTTCTTTATTTTTGCCATAGGAAGTTACTGTGAAATGGGAGTTTGGGTAATGTGGTGATGTAATGATGGTAATCTTGCTTGCAGTTTAAGGTGTATTATTATTGGAAATGAATTCTGTGTGTCATGGGGTTTGGGATGCTTATCGATGTACACATAAAGATTACCTTCCTTTTTGGGATGCTTAGTGTGTTATGATCATCACATGTATTTCTTTCCCCCGATGATTCATATTTCTCTGATAAATCAGCCAATGTAGATTGTTGATAACTTGGCACAGACCTTGAAATGTCATAATGTTTCATCAAGAAGGACTCTCAGGTGCCCTTTTCTTCTCACATTGGCTAATCTGGTTTTGTAAGTATATCTTCACCTACACATCTACCTTTACAACTATGCATTTTTATTTTTCTATTCAAATAATAACAACAAAAAATAAACAAATAGAAAACTTAATGCATTATGTTTTTCAACATCAGGTTTCACTAGAGCATCAAACCACAGCAACCCATAAAACCCCAAGTCTAAGATATACTGCCGTTAACCAGATATGGTATATCACTAATTTAGTGAAGAGATACCTAGAAAGCAAAGGCAATAATCTGAAAACATTTGATAGAAAAAAATGGGGGTAAATTACACTAACCTCCCTTGAGATTTGGAAAAAAATATAACAAATTTCACAATTTTAACATAATTACGAAGACATTCCTTCTAGAATTTGAAACCAATGGAGTACTTGGGTTTTTTAACTACTTGGGTTTTTTTACAATGGAGTACTTGGGTTTCTTAACTACTTTCATGTTGTTGCTCTGTAAAATATTCTCACTTATTATGAAAGACGTGAATATCACAAAGAGCTTAACATTCTGTTTGGCTCTGTTTTTTTAATTTCTGTTTGGTTGGCGAGAATTTCTGTTTAATTTCTGTTTGGTTGGCAAGGAAAGGCTTTGTATTCACACTTTTCTTAACCTAAGGATGGTTTGAATCAGTAAAAGTTGCGAAGTAAATTTTAAATTTTCTACTTTTTTTCACGGTATGTACTATGAAAATATGTCATATTCCTAAGTACTCTCCTATTTAGACTTTATGTTCCTAAATAAATTTTTGAAATATGTCACGTTCCTAAGTACTTTTTGCTTTTTTGATCTTCTTCCTTATTCATGCTAAATACTCTACCACTATTGGTTGGATATGAATCTATAGGAATTGGATGAGATGAAGAAGCTTTTGAAAGAGTAAGGGGTTGTTCATTGATAGAAGGAAACAAACCAATGGCACCCTTGAACTCTCCAATTAAGGTAATCTCTTCAAACTTCTATGTTGTATGATTTATTTTTTATTTTTTATTTTTTATAGAGAAAAGATTCAACCATTTAAGTTGTTTATATGGGAGTGCCTTTAGGCACGAGTGATATGCTAGCAATTCATATTAGACATTTTTTTTTCTCTGAATAACATTCTTTTAATCCGTTTGATTTGATTTGATTTTTTTTTTAATTTATTTCATATATAGTTACTAAAATGGCTATTGGACCATTTTAAAGTCCTTTTATTATAGTTATTTTTTAATGCAACAATTTCAATTTTAAAATTGTCGTAGTTGATGTAATTAATGACTTCCAAATTAATCATCTGTGTAATTACTCTTATTTAAAGTACTTTTTCATTTACATGATTAGTTTAGTCACATTAGGACATTATATGAATGCAATGATTTTGTAAATTCAACCAATGTACTCTTAACAGAATTATAGAATTAATGAGTTAATTTGTTTTAAAGCTATAAAGCTGAGTTCGAGTTTTTATTTACTAAGATTCAAATTCATGGTCAAATGCATGGCTTCTTTGTGTTAATGATTAGGATTTGAATTTTTCAATTAATTGATTTTGAAATTAATATCTTAATTGGTTTGAATTTGTAGTGTCATACTTTTCAAACTTTCATCATGCTATTTGACTCTTCTCATTTTCTTAGAATTTCTTATTGGTTGTTGAGAATTTCATCATGCTATTTGAGTCATTTAGAATGTTTCAAATTTTAAGCAATTTGTTAAGTTTTATATATTCCAAACCTTCTATCTTTAAAGCTTCGTCATAAGTATTTCGATTTTCGTCTAGACACTTCTTATAAATGATTTGGTAATTGATTTGGTATAGATTTTATTTGGATATAGATTGTATAGATTTTTTATTTATATATTGATCTTTTACAAAGAATCTGGATATAGATTTTTTATAAATTTTTTCCAAACATTACAAACAATTGTATAGATTTTTTATATTATCTTTGTGAAGAAGAAAGGGAGGCCACGAAAGTATGAATCAGATGGTAACTTGAGACTACCATCTATATCATCACCACCACCAGGTTTTTCTTTCTCACCTCCTTTTCCTTCTTCTTTTGAGTCCTCTTCTTCCAAAAGGGGTCGTGGCAGACCACTTCATTCTGGTAATTGCCAGCTGCGTGCTTCTTTAGGTGAGTTCAAATCAAGCCTTTAAATCAACTTTTTCCCTTGAGATTGATAATTTAGTTGTGTACAACCTTTTCCTTTGCTGCATATTGGAACACATTGAAAACAGTAAGTATGGTTTAACTTGATTTTTATTTTTTTTGAAGTACATTAGTTAGTGTGATTTGTAGGTTGTGGATGAAGTCTTAACGAGGCGGAAAGAGACTGAATGGTGAGCTTTTTTATAAGTGTATATGTAGTGTTATTGCACATGGTTAAATTTGAATGCAAGTGTTTATTCATTTTGTTCATGGGTTTTAGGTTCATTGAAGGAGACTTTGATGCGTATGTCGAAAGAATTCGAAAACCTTATGTATGGGGTGGAGAGCTTGAGTTGCTGATGGCATCCCATCTTCTCAAGTGAATTCTATTCACTGTTTCAGTGAAGCATTTATGTTGTCCTTATGAAGCAATTTATGGGCAAAAAACAATATCATAGTGTCCATCAAAGTGTTTTTGCATATTGGCTCATATACAATAGTATTTGTCTATTTATTAGTTTGACAGAAGTGTTTGTTTGCCTCATCAAAGTGTTTTTATACTAAATCTATAATCTATATAATAAGATTGAAGGGTTGGGATTACAATTATATTCTAATTTCAATATTATTTACACCGTGCCTTCAGGTACGGGCATACGCTAGTATATATATATTGTAGATCTCTATTATTATGAAAAGTTAGAAAGGAATGTTAAACTAAATATCTTAAAAGAAATTGAAAAAAAAAACCAAAAAAACAAATCACTTAAAATGAAAAGATGAAAAATATAAACAAGAAAATGACACATTTTTGGTAGTCTTTTGTCTTCAGTAATTTTTTTTTTTAAAAAAGAAAAATTATTTCATAAATATCTTAGTTTGTAGGTGTATTTAATTGATATATTAAAAAATAAAAAGAGTTTATTAAAGATGAAAACAAAAACTCAAAAATAATTTTAAAAAATTGAACAAAACAAGTCTGATAAATGTATTTTTAATAAAAAATAAATAAGTAATTATTAATAATTTTTGTTATATATGTACTTTCTATGTAAGAATTTATAATACAAATTTGAAAATCTTTCCATATTAGTTTTTTTTTTTCTTAAATTATGTTACCATAATTGCAATATAATATCATTGAAAATAATTATTTTTTGTATTATTTACAAATAATTCTTAATTTGGAATGCGATAAGAAAATTTTAAATGGTGTGAAAAAATTATTCGTGATTGTGTAACGACTAGGGTTTTGTATAGAGAGATAATAATATACTGGAGAAAAAAAGAGAAAGAAGAATGAATTTTAATCTCTTCTTTTGAATTTTTGCAAGAGAAAGATTTTCTTTTAACTATCCTTTTGAAAAACATAAATCATGAAATAATTAATATTTTTATAATTATTATATTAATGTGTCGGCCAGTAACATTTTTTAAAAATTATTTTTTAATTTAAAAATTCAAAAATTCAGTTGAATGTTTTGGAACTCTCACAAGGCTCTTCACAAAAAGACACTTTGTTATAATATATAGTAATAAAATAGATGGGGAATGGTGTGAGCTAAGTAAAAATAGTGGTGTTCTTTGTTTTAAATTTTTTTTAATATATAAATTATGTTTTTTAAGATTTTTATAAAAATAATTTAAAAATCTAATCACTAACCATAGTATATGAGAAAAATTGAAAAGGGTACTGCAGTAACTATACACAAATTGTATCTATAATTATTTGTATGATAAGATTTTAAATGTTGATCAGGATATTTTGACCAAATCAATAAATGCTGAGTTTTTTTTTTAATAAAAAATTTAGATTAGCTTGAGTGTTAAAAACCCCATTTTAAATTTAGATTAAAAACCCCCTTGAGTGCTTATGTTTATCTAACTACAATCATATTAAAAAATTAAATTATAAAAAAAGGAGATAATTTCAATCATACAAATCACATTTTTTTTAATGCTATCTAACTACAATCATATTTTTCTCATAATAAAAAATAATAATTGAAAAAAAGAACCATAAAAATAGTAAATAAAAATATTATTTATAGCCATTGAACAACTATAATAACATTTTTCTTTTTGTAAGTTAACTTCAATCGTATTAAAAAATAAAATTATAAACAAAATGAGATAACTTCAATCATACAAATCACAATTTTTTTAATGCTATCTAATTATCATCAATAATTAAAAAAATCAATCACAAATTAAGTCAATTGATAATTAAAAAACACAATAATTTATTTCTAAAAAACATAGTGAGTTAAAAAGATCAATTACAATTTTTTTTGAGTCAATATACAATCTAATTATCATCAATAATTGGTATATTATGTGACCTTAATGAGTACAATCCATTTTGTTTTTCAAAAAACACAGTGAGTTAAAAATCAAATTACAAATGAAGTGAATTGACAGTTAAAAAAACATAATAATTTTTTTTCAAAAAACTCAGTGAGTTAAAAAAATAAATTACAATTTATTTTTTTCAAAATACAATCTAATCATTATCAATAATTGGTACTTTAAAAATCAGATCAGAAAAAAAATCAAATCAAATCACAAATATTTTTTTCATAAATAATTGTAAAGAAAAACCATTAAAGCAGTAAATAAAAATTAAATCACATTAAAAAAAAAGAAAAATTGAACAAATTACAATCACATCACATTTTTTCCATAATAAATAAATAAATAAATAAAAGAACCATTGACTAACTACAATCACATTAAAAAAATAGAACCATTGAACTAACTACAATCATTTTTTTTTTCTTCGTGAGTGTTTATGTTTATCTAATTTCAATCATATTAAAAATAATATTAAACTAGTAAATAAAAAGATTAAATAACGTTAAAAAAAAAACTATAGAACTAACTACAACAATTATATTAAAAAAAGAGCCATTGAACAAACTACAATCACATCACATTACAATCACATTTTTTTCTTTGTGAGTGTTTATGTTTATTTAACTTCAATCATATAAAAAATAAAATTAAAATAGTAAATAAAAAGATTAAATAATATTAAAAAAAACCATTGAACTAACTACAACAATCATATTAAAAAAAAGAGCTATTGAACAAACTACAATTACATCACATTTTTCCCATAATAAAATAAATAAATGAAAAAAAAGAACTATTAAACTAACTACAATCACATTTAAAGAAAAAGAATCATTCAACTAATTATAATCACATTTTTCTCTTTGTGAGGGTTTATATTTATCTAACTTCAATCATATTAAAAAAATCAAATTATAATTTTTTTATTCGCTAGAAAAATCACAAATATTTTTATGCGCTATCTAACTACAATATTAAAAGAGTAAACAAAAGGAAAAGTCAAGATGGAGAAAACAAAAAGAAAACTTACTATTTGTATACATAGTCACTGAAGTTGAAAGTGTAGAAGTGAGAAGTCAAGAATAAGAAAACAAAAAGGAGACTCACTCTTTGCAATAGGTATGTGAAAAGTTAAAAAGAGTGTGTGTGTTGGAGAAGTTAAAAAGATTTGGAAGAATTTAATAATTGCTAAGTTTTTTTTTTCAAAAAAAAATCAAAAAAATTAAGAAATTAAGGTTCAAATATTGGAACTCCCACAAAACTTGTAGGTTAGAGATAGATATAAATAAATAGATAGATATAGATATAGATATTTATATTTGTTTTAAATTGTTTTTTAATATACAAATTATTTATTTTGGAAAAGGTACTGCAGCAATTATGAGAGAAGTCAAAAAGTCTTGTGGGTTGAGAGAAGTTAATAAATGCTGAGGTTAATTTTTTTTTTTTAAAAAACAAAAAATTAGAAAATTAGGATTAGCATATTGAAGCTCCCACAAGAATTGGGGGTTAAAAATCCCCTTTTGCTTAATATATAGTATAGACTAGCATATCACTCGTGCTATGCACGAATTGTATTTACAATTATCTATATATATGTAAACTGTGATTTTTAAATGTTTTATTTATTTATTTTAAATGTCTTATTTTTTTCCTTTTTTATATTTTATTAAAGTTTAATATTTTGATAATAATCATACGTGTTGGACTTTTCAAGGAATTAAATGTCTTTTTTTATTATATTATATTAAAGTTTAATATTTGATAATAATCATATGTGTGTTGGACTTTTCAAGAATTTTTTTTTATGCTTGTTCTTAATGCATTAAAGTATTGTTATGAGGGATAATAATCATATGTGTTGGACTTTTCAAGAAAATTTTTTTATGCTTGTTTTTAATGCATTAAAGTGTTATTATGATGGATAATAATCATATGTGTTGGGATTTTTCAAGAAATTCGTATGTGTTGGATTTCAAAGAATTTTTTTTATGCTTGTTCTTAATGCATTAAAGTGTTATTATGAGAGCAAGACTTGGGAGTTGGGAGAAGTTAATAAATGCTAAGTTTTTTTTTTTAAATCAAAAAATCAGGAAATTAAGATTGGGAGATTGGAATTCCCATTTTGCTTAATATATAGTATAGATTTGGGGACGCTGTTGCGCGGGGTGCGCAACAGCATCTGTTGTGCGGCGGAAATGGGCCCATTTTGATAATTTGAACCGTCCACATTTTAGAATATATCAAGTAGAACATGTCTGTAAAAAATCAAGTTAATCGGATATCGTTTACCCATTCATCCACACACATTTCTATCTACAAAAATAAATAATAATTGTGATTTAAAGTATTAAAATGAATACAAATGTGAGTGGATGAATAGGTAAACGATATCCAATTAACTTGATTTTTTGCAGGCATATTCTACTTGATTTATTCTAAAATGTGAACGGTTCGGATTATCAAAATAGGCCCCGAAATGGGCCTATTTCTGCGCACAGCAGATGCTGCTGCACACCCCGCGCAGTAGCATCCCCAAACTCTATAATATATAGTAATAAAATAGATGGGAAATGGTGTGAGTTAAGTGAAAATAGTGGTGTTCAAATAGAATTACCTATAAATGAGGGATGCTTTTAGTATTGAGTAAGAGTAGGGGTGAACAGTGGATATTTTGATTCGTTCAAACCGACCAAACTGAACCAATCCACCATATTTTGGATAGATACATGATGACGAGCGGACGGTTGTGGATTGATTTTTTTGCAATCCTCATAGTTTTGGACGGATGACGGATTTGAAATTCCTTTGGTCGCTACCGAACTGCCAAATCACGAACACCACTAGTAATGTATAAGATTTTGTATGTTCAATTTGTTTAGATATTATGTTTGTATTTTCAATTGAATAAGAATTTAGGTATTCTGTTGTGTTTTTAATTTGGAAATCTTTTTATCAATTGGCAAGTATTGATATTTGATATTTTTGTGTGAAAAATATAAGGCTTAATTTTATAATTTTTTTAAAAAAAATCAAATTATATACTTTTTTAATAAAAAAATAATGAAAT